GGCGGCTGGATGGTCCGCTCCGGCCTGCAGCGAGCGCCTTCGGGAGGGTACGGGGAGGGGCTGACCCTTCCTCGGATCTGGTCCTTTCGGGAGCTCCGGGCCCAGAACTGCCGGTTCCGGTGGCGGGCGGGGGAAGGGAGGCTACTTTCGGTGGAGGTGGCTCCTGAGGCCTAGTGACAGGTCAGACCGAGCCGGGACTGGGGCGGGCTGGGGGCGTGGGGGCTGGGAAGGGGGTGCCCAGAGCAGTTCTCCGACTCCGGGACGGCCAAGGGTGAGGTTCACCTGTCAGAGTTCCCGGTCTCCCTCTGACTTGGATCCCGGCGCTGGAGAGATTAATCACAGTGTAGGAAGCCCCTCAAAGTTCTTTTGGGACGACTGCCCCTGCGTGCCTGTCTGTGCTGAGGCATAAAGCAGTTACACTCCTCTTAGGCGGATGTGTGGGATCGGGCATATGTATTGGTGCCCGGGTGTAGAGATATATATGAGATGAATGCATCCATTAATGTAATTGTGATTATGCTTTAGCAACTATGACCCCCATGTATATGAAGGTTATCTCTACCTTCATATGTCTTTGTTATGTCTTTGCATGAGTAGAAAGTTGGGGTACCATAGCAATGATTTTAGATCATGGAATTTTTATATTTTGGTTGTTTATCGCCCAGTTGGCCAAATATAAAACGATGTATTTTTCATTTGCTGAAAGGACTTTAAAAATCCTAAGGATAGGAGTTGTTTGTGCCGGTGCCACTCTCAGGACTAAGTGTGTGCATTTAGGAAGGAAGGTTCTTGTACCCGGGAAGCAGAGTTGGAGCAGAGTGGTGGTGGGGAAAATTGTTTTCTTTAAGATGTGACATATTATTATTAACTTTTTCGTGCTTACTCATTTCTTTTTTCTTCCTTCTTGCCAGAAAAATCATAGTTTCTTCTCTGGAGGGCGAACAGTTAGAGAATTGATTTCACGGATCTGGTAACATGGCAAAAGATGTAAGTATATTTCATTCACGTTACAAACAAATGTTGACTTAGTTTTAATGGCGAGAAAATTAGGCAGCCCTGAATTCTTAGCAGTTTTCTGACTTTATTTCAGAATGACAACACATAAACTATGGTAGTGTTTATTTTTAAATTTCTAGAGCCGATGAAACTTCTAGGTAAAAAAACCCCAAAGAAATCTAAATTTTAAGAGCCTTTGTGGAAATGTATGACTTGCTTGTCAGCATTGGGTTTTCTATAAACTTGAATACCTGGTGGTAAATGCTTAGGATGGCTAAATGATGACCACTTTCAACATTTTCTTCATCTTTTCAGATTGTGCAATTGATAATTTTGAATATCTTCCTTAAAAAGCCCCATCCTTGCCCAAAGTAGGTGGAACATACGCA